TGGTACGATGTGAAAACTAACAACGTAGCTTGAGAAAGACAAGTGTGGCTATAAAGAACACAGGCCTGCATACCCGTCATGACGTGCACTGACACAACTTTATTTTTATGGCAACTATAAAGTAATAAATGTTGTTTTTGCAGTCTGTCCGCATCCATGTCTAGAATGTCTCTCACTGGTGGGAGGGTTTGGCAGTTCAGTGACAGCAAAGGAAATTGGCACGACTTCACAGAAGAGGTACAGTAAGACAACAAAGATCAGGGGAGTATTCCCAATCAATATAGTGTATTCCATGCTCAGAAACAAAATTGATGGTCATATTTTGCTATTGAAGAGAGTGTTTAGGTTTTACACAAACTCCCTGTACTCTGTGGGACTATTGTGTGAAGAATTTCCAGCAGGTCGACTCCAGAGGTTAATGCTTTTATTGTCAGTAACACATTGCGCACAAACAGACGTATGTTGCTTGGGGTGTGCCAGTGGATCTCAAAAAGATACTGTTGCTTTTACTTTTGAGGAATTTTTTAACAAAAAGATACATTGTACTGTACGTGTTTGTAGGTGTGAGTCAGAGAACCGTGTGCTGATGGTTTCATCAGCAGAGCCTGTATTCTTATATCTCCAGGGCTGCTCCAGCCAGGACATTGAGCAGGAATACCAGCAGGACCCACAGGGGAAGATGAAATTTACCATCAGGTCAAGCTCATATGTGCTGGATTTCTCAGGTGAGCACAGTATAAAACTCCTCTTCTTGAGTTACTCCCCAGCTGACCTGAATACATTATCCATCAGCCCATCCAGCCACGAAACCTTTTGTAAAGAAACAGGTGCGTGTGAATTGAAAAATAAACAGACCACGCAATGCAAATAATGCAAAAGTATTCAGACCCTCTCCATGGTATCCTGTTCTGTGAAAACAAAAAAATATACACCTGGATTTTATTTGGATGGAAGGTCAGCTTTTAGCTAACGTTTAGCAGGGGCATGAGTTCATGTGGAGACCTCAGTGGTACTCGGATGATCGATTGTGAGAGTGGCCATTTCCTCACAGCCAGATGCCTTTCAATCCGACAGTGAGCCCCACCGGAGCAGACAGCTGTGTGTATTCCCAGCCCTGGGCCCGGACAGGCCCAGCCCAGTTCGTCTTGCGCATCACTGACACGTTTCTGCAGACTGTCATTGACTAGAGGTCAATAATTAAGCAATACTCCTCTTTGATTAACAGCACTCCGTTCTTTGAGGATTGAAGGGTACACAGATTTTGGTCCCAAGCGATCCCTAAATTCCATCATTTCACTTCAGCAGTTTGGTCAAATGTGAACAATGCTGGACCGAGCTGACGGATATGAAGGGGCAATGTGCCGAGTACTGCGGCTTTGCCTGTCCTGGCTGAGGAAATGACAGTGCTGGCTGGAGACCCACACTGTCACTCCCCCCTGCCCTGCGAGGAAGAGAGTGCTGCAATGGTGATGTTGAGGTAGAGGGAGGGGTGTCA